GAAAAGATAGGTACTGCACAAAACATAATGAAAATGAAGATTCTACATTTTAGTTTAGCATGGTGTAACCACAATCACAGCAGCAATCTAACCACAGTATTGTGGCAGTTTGTAACTTGACAAAATAACTTAGAATCCACTTTCATCTTCCAAAACCCATTGAAACGCAGCCAGTTTTTAAGGAAGGAGTTTTCGTTCAGCCTCTCTATGTCTCTGTGACACTGTGCTTCCCACAGAGCACAGTAATAGATGGCTGCGTCTCCCAGGGTAAGACCTGTGATGGTGAGTGTGGTGAAGTATCTTTCTGCAGCAGAACTAAAACGTCTTTTAGCGAAGTTTGCAGTGTTAGTACCACTATTAGAACGGGCTCCTTTTTGCAGTATGTATTGAAGTGGCTGGTCTGAAGACTGACGGTACCAGAAGAGATAAATGTAGTTACTGCTGGAATCATAAGAGCAGCTCAGAGTCACTGAGTCCCCTTCATTCCCAGAGAGATCTGCCTCTTGAGAGGTGATGGAGTCACCAGCTGCCATGACTGGAAAAAATATATATTGTAGAAGTGAAAAGGAAAGCAAAGAAAATTGTTTTCTCAATAACAGTGTAATAACAATAATCACAATCCTAGAGTACAGAAGAAACACTACCTCCACTGATGATGAAAATCAAAATGTAAAGTGGTTTCTCCACGAAGAGGTAAACGATCCGCATTTCTCTGCTGCCCTTCTGCTCTTCTGCAAGACAGCTGGTTTCACCTGAGTCTGCAGAGTTTCTCTCTCGAGGGTAAAAAAATCACATCTATAAAAACCACACAGGAACTTCCAGTGACGTGCGCTGTCAGAATGTGCTCTGTCTGGAAGAAGGCGTTTCTAGTGCCAGTTCTCTTGTGAAGTACATTAACTCTGCAGCTCCATTTTTAGAATGTAAGAGTGGGCAAAACCGATACTGCATGTCTGTTATCACATTAGACTCTTGGTTACTCAGGTCTACTGAAGACACATTGTCTTTTGCTGCGAGCCCATCTGTAAAGGTGATTTATGAATATTTATGAATAGAACGTTGTTAAGTCTTTGAGTGACGAATGAGTGTTTGTACTCTTTGGATACTTTTGTCCAGACCTTTGGAGCTCAGTGTTGGGGATAGCGTCTCTATTTTCAACGTGAACACATGAAGAATGGGAATGTGGCAGGAGAATTAAAGTTAAAAATTGGATAGGCAACATTTTGGTTTAAGAACAGGTGAAAACCAGCAGTTACCTTAAAGAAAAACCTGTAACTGTCATGGATGTCGGAAGGGACGAACCGTGGAATGGCAGGAGAGCGGAAAAAGACCCATATGCGTAGAGGTGGGACAGGGGTTAGCCCGGGCTCAGCAGTTCAGGAGTTGTATAGAAACCTATGCCCTCAGGCAGCAGAC